CGGTTCGGATCTTGCGAGACAGGATCGTGGATGCTCACTGCTAAAGAGTCTCACAATAGGACGAAACGGTCGTCCAGTCCTCCCGGATTTTCATTGATGGTCTAACATCAGTTGGTTCATGATCTCAATCAAAAAGATCATAATGTCTGTTTTTAGTGCCCTTAATCTGACTAAAATTTACACGGTTAACCGGAGAAGTCATTATATGTGAAATGGAAACAGTCAACAGTTTTTCAGCGATAATAATGATGTGTAAAGATATCTTTAATTAGTTTGGTTTGTATTAGTCTACAGAATATACCCACAAATACATATAATCGATTACAGCGGATAATTTAGGTTGAATAGAATCAAAGCTCAATCTCTCTACCGTATGTTCTACAACATGAAGAAACACCGTGCATATTTTTTTATTCCTACAACGTGAAACGAATCGACTAGTGTGGTAAACAAATTGTTGGATATTGAAATTCTCAAAAATCTTAACACTGTACGACCAAAGTATCTATGAGCAAGTGATTCCAAAGGGATGTTTTACAATCATCAAATAATTCTCTACAGTTAAATGTTTTATAGTTATAGGTCACAAATAAAGCTTCACAAAACACTGTTACATGCCTTGACATCGCAATGCACAGCGGTTTGGTAAGAATGACATTATACTGTGAGGATTGAGCAGCCTATGCTAAAGTAAGATGTAAGGTGCTAAGTACACGTGACTGATGAAACTATTGATCTTCCCCAAATAAGGTAGATGGAAAAACATGAACTCAGTTCATAAAATGAAGAAGATTTGTAGCTCAGGTGGATGAATTTTGGTAGAGTTTTGTTCTCTGAGCTGGAGAAATTTGAACACTTCACTTCGATCTGAAGTTTACGCTGATGATGTCGTTCAGAAGAAAGCTCTGTGACCAAACCATCCATCTCAGAGAAGAAAACCTCACCAAAATCAGTTCATAAAGTCATTTATTGTTATTTAAACACGAATTGGAAAATACAAATATTTCGGCTAAGTTGTATGCTATATGTAGAGTGGTTGTCCGATTCTGATAAGGATATTCACCTTTACCATTTATGAGCTCAATGTTGTACTGGAATGAGAAGACTAAAGATGAGTACAAAACTGATTTGGCTAAACTAGATCGAAACGCTTCACAGACTTATTCATATAAAGATATATTTCCCAGGACAATCGAGTTAAATATCAACCACTCCGCATGGAGTCCCTCCGGGGGGCTACTGCCGGTCCCAAGCCCAGATAAAGGGGAAGGGTTGGGCATAGGGTTAGAGACCCCATCCCGTAGAAAACTAACTCACTAAAAAAACGCTAACCAGAAAAAAAGTAGGTAAGTAAGTAAGTAATAGCATTCATCAGTCAACATTTTTTCACATAACTCAGGATATGCACATAGGCGAGTGATTTATTTTCATTGACTCAATTCACCTATAGGTTTTCTTCTTTTAAAATTATAACCCTCAAATGTCTAACAATGATGGTCTATTAATCCATTGGAATCTAAACTTGAACAAACGTGTTCACTTTTCAAGAGTCATCGGACATCTTATCAGTAGGTTATATAATAGATATTCGAGTGTGATCTAAGGAAACTCTATCTCATTAATTAGTTCACTATATATGCCTTACTTAGTGCCTAGCAACTTTGTGTGATAACTAGAAACCATTATACTTGTGAATCCCCCCTTTATCTCAGTGATCATAAAGTAATAACTCACTAGTTGAGTTCCTTCACTGGCTGTGGTTTTTTTATTGTTGATAAGTCCCATACAAGACTAGAACAGTTGTATAGCTCTTTTTCACTCTCTGATCTAATTTAAGTCGGTCATTTGAAGCGAATGTTACTGGGTTCAAGCCTCAGAGTGAACATCAACTCTAAGATGCAGGTCTATCCAGCTGACGACGAGTCCCAAATAGGACGAAACGTGCGTCAGACTGAATTTCACTGCTAACCACTATCCATCTTTGCTTATTAAGTTGGTCTATTTTATACACTAACTTTACTTATGAATAATTACTCCATCTTTTGCTATTTTGCCTGGGATTTATCATCTTAGGATTCCTTTTTAAAAAATACTTAGTATCATATCAATTGCAAGAGTATTATCACAAAGAAACGTTTGTTCAATATACTTCCTTTTCACCGAGATTTCTCTGTTTTGTTTTTACTGTATTTCTTCACATCAACAAAACTTTCGAGTGTAATTATGAATTTCAAGTGCATTATTCACTCTAACTAATGTCGTATCCAAAGTTCAGACAAATGATCGCAATCCCATATGCATATATGCTGATATAAGAACACACATAAGGAAGGAATTGAGTATGTACTTAAATAGTTAAGAAATCGATTTCATTAATTTAGCTAATTATAAACATTCATTCTCCCCTATGTTCATTATTAGTAGGAATTTATAGGATTGATTCCAAAATAACTTAGTGATTTTGTGCTAATTATAGTTATATAGTTATATAATATGTCCTTGTGGGCCAAGGTAGTTTTACATTGATTTTCAGGAGAACCAGACACTATCCAGACTTTCACGTGACAACCCAAATAATACAGCTCAATCCCGTTTAACTAGAGAGCTAGACACCAACCAGGCTTAAAATTTATAACCCGAGCAGTACAGCATAATCCTGCTTCACAGGAGAACCAGACACCACATAGAATTTATCGCTACAATCTGAACAATACAGCTCAATTGTGTTGCGCAACCAAACAGATATCAAGCACCCTGGTAGACCATTCGCACCATTCATATAGACATTCATATTACATGTATAGTTATTCCGATGAATGATCGCGTGAATCGATTATACACAGTACGAACAGGCTAAATTTGGCCTATTCCGCTTACACGACAGTCAAACTCATTAATGTTAGCAATCGCGACCTGCCTTACAATGTCCGAATGACAATGGTTCTTGGGAACACTGAAAAGCAACCACTAGTATGAATGAAACCGGTTCACCGGCAAACCAATTTTGTGCATGAACAGTCAGAAAAACTTTCTAAAGCAATGCCAAACCATCCGCAATATCAATGGCGAACCTCCAGTCTCTTATGAGACTTTCAGCTCTACATAGCCATATAGCTTATACTGCTTACACCGCATATGTATGATAGTAAGCGAAATAGCCCAGCCTGAAGCGTTAGAGCTTAAATAACGCTTAAAACCCATTGTCTAGTGTTGAAATACTATTACTAGTCCACCAAGATCATTTTTATCGCATCTGCGAAATTTTCATTTTTCTGACTTTTCAGAGGTGGTTAGTTTTATTTAGCATAAAACCATAAATCTTAGTTTCATGTTATTTGGGATTTGTCAACAAGGTATACTTTGATTTGTTACGGGAGCTAATACACCCTGGAGAATTTAAACTCTGAACATAGACATAGTTTCACCATGAACTATTCAGTCGACAGAAATCGATTCTCATTGACAACTAGACATACACTATATTTGTGTACTATACAGTGACTAATCAGTGAATTGTGTACAGAAGTAGTCAGATTTGTCAAAGTTTGATTTATACGAAACTGTTACGATAAATCTTGATTTCAAACTAGAATTTAAAGGCTAATACGATAAATCTTCTATTATCATTCCACTTTTATATTCCCACTTGTTGAGTCTAATCAATCAGTTGCCTGTAAAGACAATCATTTTTCATTCATTGATATGTGATCAGTATCTGAATAGAAATTTATCATGTTATCACTAATAAATGATGTAATAGAATTGCTAGACAAGGGTTTATATAATTAATTTTTAGATGTATACCATTTATTCTATAAAGGCTGTCGATACGGATCAACTATTGATTGATTACGGTTGGAACTTACTCCTTACGAATTGAAATCTTACTGTAATAACCACGAATTCACTGCTCCATATTTTGTAATTTTTTCTACTTACTTACGCCTGTTACTACCAATGGAGCATAGGCTGCCGACCAGCATTCTTCAACCTACTCTGTCCTGGGTCTTCCTTTCCAGTTCTATCCAATCTTTGTTCATTTTTCTCATGTCTATCTCCATTTCCTGCCGTAATGTGTTGTTTGATCTTTTTCTTTTCCTTTGGCCTTGAAGATTTCAAGTGTGAGCTTGTCTTGTGACGTAGTTGGTTGCTTTCCTTAATATATGTCCTTTAGCAGCCCAGGTTCTCACTCTAATTAGATCGTATGAATGTTTGTTGTTGAAATACACATCCTGACTATTCTAGTATATTTTTATCGACTTTATCCGTATTAGTGAATAAGAGAATTAAATAAGGCAAATACAAGAATGAATTTTGAATATGTATATTTCATGGACTTATTGATTTGACCAGGGAATCAGGGAAGGAAGCGAAGAGAAGAGAGTGAAGTGAAATGATGCTCAGTGGAGAAGGCGTGTGAGCCAACTCCATTTAATCAAGCATTAATCAATATTTATGGTCACACAAAAGTAGGCAACATAAATGTGATGAGTAGAATAGGAAGTACACAGATATACGCTCATATAAGAACAGTCAGGTTTGATAAGTGCATAATTAATAAGGTCAAAACGTGACATGTTGCTTTTATATTTATTTTGTCGAGATTATAATTTATGAACAATCCAATCAGATGTTAGATAACAGGTCTCGAATTTTGGCGCGAAACTCACTTATCCATTTAGGTAAATAGAGTTTTCACAGATTGAAATCATGAGTCAGTTGAAGCTAAACCACCATGGAAAACCTGGAAGTACTGGCTCTTGTAAAACGCACAATGGTACAAATATTGATTCATAGTGAATTCACATGAGAAACTTATGGTATATTTTTAGTATTGGGATTTGGTTGACCAGTCAGCATACTCAAGTGTAAGTCTCTCCTGAACATACAATCGTCAAATTCAATAATTGGGAAGTTTTAAATTTGAATGTTCATTTTAATATAAATTATTTTGTTTCAAGTAATACTCATGTCTTTTTGATCATTATTTTGATTTATAGCAAACTGGTTTGGCAGCACAGTGTCATCATCAACCTGGCAGACGTGCATCTTTGGTTGAATTGCAATTAGTCCACAAAGATGTGTATACAGTTTTATTTGGCAGTAATCCAGCAAGCAGATGTCGGATTGATCCAACTCTTTTAGCCACAGTACGTTTATGTAGGCTAGCCTGTGGCGGAGTTGGTGTAGATTCTGATACAGCTTGGCATACTGCTGGACATACAGCTCATGCAGCGAGACTGGCAGCTGGTTGTGTTGTTGATTTGGCATGTCGTGTAATGCTTGGTCAATGTCCCAATGGTTTTGCTTTAGTAAGACCACCAGGACACCATGCAGAACCAGGTCAAGCTATGGGATTTTGTTATTTCAACTCAGTGGCAGTCGCTGCTAAACGAGCTCAATTCCTTGGTTCAACAGCACTAGGTACTGAACGAAGCTCTGTAATTTCTTCTTTAGCAACCACCTTGTTTGATCAATCAACTTTTCTCCCATACACTATGGAATCCGCACTCAAACCACGAATTTTAATAGTAGACTGGGATATTCATCATGGAAACGGAACTCAAACAGTATTTTACACAGATCCAACCGTATTGTACATATCCCTTCACAGACATGATGAAGGGGGATTTTTCCCCGGTACTGGATCCCCTGAAGAGATAGGCTCTGGTCCTGGTGAGGGATTTACCATTAATATTGCTTGGCCATCAGGAATAGTTATGTCTGATGCTGAGTATTTAGCAGCGTTTCGTTTGATTATTCTACCCGTTGCCTGTGAATTTCAACCTAGTCTTGTTTTAATTTCCGCTGGTTTCGACGCCGCTCCCGGTCATTCAGCCAATCTCGGTGGTTATTCAGTAAGTCCAGCTGCTTTTGGTTGGATGACACGTCTATTATCAATTGATCGTATTGCTAATTCAAAAGTAGTGTTATCCCTAGAAGGTGGTTATGATATGAACAGTCTTTGTGATTGTACAGAAGCTTGTGTACGAGCATTACTTAGATCAGCAGCTGAAATAAATGAAAGAAATTCAATACCTATCAATGTGCCAGATTTAATTCCTTTAAAACAATCCGAATTAGATCGAGTCCCACATCCTTTAGCAATACAAACTTTATTAAAAGTTGCACAATTACATTCTGCCTATTGGACAAGTTTTTCTAATGAAATCGATACACAATATGCATCTATGCCAGCTAGTAGTTGGTTACCAACACTATTTGATAATTCAATTGAAATTAAAGATATGAATTCAACAAATGAGCATATTTCAGTAGTATCTACAAATGATACAACAATAAATGTGAATAAACGTTATTTAAAATCATTCATTAAACAAACACCATTCACTGATGAATTGAATGTAATTACATCTGGTAATAATACAGAACATAATAATCGATATTTCAATTTTGCTATGCGACAAGCATCATCAATGGATGAAACAAATGAAAGTGAAATGAAACCAAATTCTATCATAAGAAGAAGAAGAAGATCAACCACTGGTATTACAGGATCTAATATTAATTCTATATCATCAATAGGGGATACAAATGAAACTATAACACGTATTGCATTAACACGTTTAGCTGAATTACATGTCACTTCACAACCTGAATAATAATCTATATAACATACCGGTTAATAGTTTAATGTTAAAGTTGTGATTGAACCTAGAGTACTACTACGATGACGACGACAACAACAATAAAAGATCATCCTAATAAAGAGGAAGAATGTTGTATTTGTCAAATCTCAGTGAATCCAATTTAAATTAAATCCAAACATTTTCATTTTGGTAATTGGATCCCAATACAACATTCTTCCTGTTTTAATGTTTCACATCAATTTGGCGCCCAAGATTTCGATGATGTATTTGAAGTGTTTCAAAACAAAACCAAAAACAAATTATGGGATATTTATTTTTGTGAGTATTTCTTATACTACTTATTACTTGTATATAAATAAATTTTAAAAAAAAATCAACAAATGGAAATGAACATTCCTTATCTGATAGGTAAACCTATTTGCATACATATGCATATATGTATATGTAGAAGAAATTCACATTTCCCGGTGCCTTAAAACATTTCGCTTTTCTTTTTTTTCTTGAAAAGAAAAGAAAAGAAAAAGAAAGAGAAAAAAAGAAGAAAAGAAAGTACTACCTCTTAATATAAATCTTGTTCAATATTCAATATACTTACTTAGTTACATACTACTGATATTTCTGATAAAAGTAAAACATTTTTTTCATAAACTAAATGAATATGTCTGTTTTCTTTCTTTTCTTTTCTTTTCTTTTTTTTGTTTTTTTGTTTGTTTGTTTGTTTTTAATTGTTATTTGCACGTTCACTTTTATTTTGTTCATTTAGACAAATGGATGTTTCATTATTGAATAATAGAAAAATGCCAATGAATTATCTGTTTGATAAGTTGGTTTGTTTTATTTTTGTTTTTCTCTTTTTTTTTCTTTTTTTCTCAAATAATCAATTAGATCAGTTGGCTTGTTGTTGTTTAGGTAAATATCGACTTAAACAAGACCGGAAATAAACTTTTTCTGGTTAGCGTTTTTTTAGAGAGTTAGTTTTCTACAGGATGAGGACGCTAACCCCATGCCCAACCCTCCTCCTTTACACGGGCTTGGGACCGGCAGTAACTCTACAAGAGCTACAGGAGGAGTTAATCACTGAGCCCGACGTGATTCGAACACACAACCTTCTGATCTGGAGTCAGACGCGCTACCATTGCTCCACGAGCAGATATGAAAAGGATGAATAACAACTAGAAGGAGCTGGAAAGGATTGCCCAGGACAAGGTTGAATGGAGAATGCTGATGAGCGGCCTATGCTCTTTCACGAGGAGTAACAGGCGTAAGTAAGTAAAGTAAGGAAATAAAGTTAATTACCGAAAGAGAAACATTAGAGCACAAAAAAGAACCATTTATTATTAAGGTTAGGATTCAAAGGTCTTATTTACTTATTTACGTCTGTTACTTATCATGAAGGAGCATAGGCCGCTCACCAGCATTCTCCATCCAACCCTTTCCTAGGCAGTCCTATCCAGCTCATTCCAGTTGGTCTTCACCCTATTCATTTCTGCTTCCGAATCTTGATGTAATATGTTCTTTAGCCTTCCACTTTTCCGCTTCCCTTCAGAATTCCAAGTTAGGGCTTGCCTCGTGATGTAGTTTGATGATTTGCGTAATGTATGTTCTATCCATTTCCATCGTCTTTTCGTAATTTCTTCTTCAGCTGGAAGCTGGTTTGTTCTCTCCCACAGAAGGCTGTTGTTGACGGTATTTGGCCAATCGATGTTGAGTATCTTGTGTAAAGAACTATTTATAAATACTTGTACTATTTTGATGATGGTTGTAGTAATTCTTCAAGTTTCAGCTCCGTTCAGTGTGACTGTGTTGACGTTGGTATTGAAGATTCTCACTTTGATATTGGTTGAAAGTTGTTTTGAGTTCCATATGTTCTTTAATTGTACGAATGGGGCTCTTGCTTTGCCAATCCTCGCCTTTACGTCTTCATCCAAACCTCTTTGTTGATCGATGATGCTGTCCAGGTACGTGAAAGACTCCACATCTTCCAGAGTTTCACTATCAAGTGTGATTGGGTTAGTGTTCTCCATGTTGCATTTGAGGATCTACCTTTTTCTTTTGTGTATGTTGAAGCCTACTGATGCTTAGACTGCTGCTACACTCGTTTTTTTATCCGCATTTGTTCATGTGTATAGGATAGGATGGCTAGGTCGTGTGCGAAGTCCAAATCGTCTAACTGATTCTGAGCTGTCCATTGTATGCTGTGTTTTCTCTGAGATGTCGAGGTCTTCAATCTTTGAATTGTTATTTGATAATAATAATAATACTGAACTGTTTTGAAATACAATGACATTGAGAACGCAGACTGATCATCAAAACATATAAAGTCAAACGGAATGAACTCCTTTATAATGGATTTTATGTTGACATAAGAACGTAATAAGAGCAGATTTCATTCTTTGCTCGTTCAATGCTTATGGTGATACAAATAACGCTATCAGTCTCGTATGAAATTACTAAAACTCCTGTAGCTTGTTCAACGTCACTGACTGATGTATCAAGCATAACTGCGGTACACCTGTGTGTAGTTTAAATTATAAGGAATCATTTGTAATCTATAGATGGTACATGGAGAATTTTCGAGAATTAATCACATGGTTATCTGCAAAAGAAGTTGTAATAGGGAAAGCGACTCATAAATCCGAAGTATTTTTTTATTATCTAATACTAGTCGGATTTGGGAACATTGGATTGAACTCATTAGAAATGCCATATACATTTGTGGAATTCACAACGAAGTTCGAAGAAATCATAGTTCGAAATGGAGAAAAGGATTATACGTTTGTACAAGTACATCCTGAGAATACGATTGACAAATAATCTAGCTTCATGTTGTGTCATGACCAATTGTTTAAAAAATTAGATTTACCTAGGTCACATAAACCGCACTGACTAAAAGTTTACATTGATCAGTTTCATTACACTTATCAATAAGAATGAAGTACAAAACTTTACAACAAATGATTTCTGGAATATTCAGTGGAATATATCTTGAAGATTCATTTCATCATAATGAAATTCGGAACAGCTTTCCATAATTCAAATTAGACTGTGATGCCCATTCAACAAGTAACTAAGTTAACAGAGACTCATCAGTTCTAGTCATGAACAGCACTAAAAAGTAAATAAGCTTTTTTTTACATATTTCACCAAATATGTATGAAACCAACTTGATTGTTTTTTCTTTTCTTTAAAACTCAACCTTATCTCTAAAAGAAACCATACTCAACAACAGTTGCACCAACAGTCTTTTATTTGACTGATGATCTCTATATAACATATTTGTTCATCCACTATGTCAGTTCATTAAGAAACGCCATCACGTTATCCACTTAGTTGCTGAATCGTGATAGCCACTAGCTATTATAATGGGCGCTCGTTGTCACGACAATTCCGACATCCGAGTTAGGCCTGATATGTCTCTCGAAGATAGAATAAAAAGTAAGAAAGCATAAGCTGAACTAGAAACCCGTCGGCAAAACGGTGAGGAAAATCTCCTGCTAGTGGGATTTCGGATAGTCAGGTCATGGAAGCAACTGCTGCAAGGTCTGTGTGGATAGGTCGTTCTACTTAGGAGTTTTATATGCCAACGCTCGTAGTCTAAAAAATAAGTTCTATGAACTAGAAGCATCAGTGAACAGATTAAAGCCACTCGTCGTGGCAGTGACAGTAACTTCGTTAGTCTATGACTTAGACATTACACCAGAATTATTCGGATACCATTACCTCAGGAGTGATAGACACAGATGCAGAAAAGGAGGTGTTGTCCTGTTATATATAGCCAATAACATAAATATCCTCTCCTCTGCTAGCGAATCCCATGATAGCGGTACTTGTGAAGTCATCAGCTGTAAATTGGCTATCGGATGTAGTACATTTATGCTTGGTGTCATCTATCGCAGCCCGATCTGCTTAACTGATGACTTCACCTTAGAGCACATTCATCTTTGGAGTGTAAATACCAGGTGCTTGATATTAGGAGACTTTATTGCACCCGATACTAGTTGGACTGAGATAACCACGGAAGGATGTACAAACTCCTTCGATAGTAGGTTCCTAGTAACAACAAATGCAGGAGAAGATGAACAGTGTGGCAGCAGCCTCAGCAGCAGTAGGTCTCAATATACACAAAGGGAAAAGCAAGACTCTCCGATACAACACAAAATGCACCAATCGAATCACAATTGACGGAGAATATTTGGAAGATGTAAAAACCTTTACATATCTGGGCAGCATCACTGATGAATGTGGTGGGTCTGATGCAGATGTGAAGGCGCGAATCGGTAAAGCAAGAGCACCATATTTACAACTGAGGAACATCTGGAACTCACAGCAACTGTCAACCAACACCAGGGTCAGGATTTTCAATACAAATGTCAAAACAGTTCTAGTATATGGAGCGGAAACCTGGAGAAATACGAAAGCCATCATCCAGAAGATAGAAGTGTTTATTTACAGTTGTCTACACAAAATACTTCAGATCCGTTGGCCGGACACTATTAGCAACAACGTACTGTGGGAGAGAACAAACCAGATCCCAGCGGAGGAAGAAATCAGGAAGAAGCGCTGTAAGTGGATAGGACACACATTGAGGAAAGCATCCAACTACATCACAAGACAAGCCCTCACATGGAGTCCTCAAGGTGAAAGGAGGAGAAGAGGAAGACCAAAGAACACATTACGCCGAGAAATGGAGATAGACATGAAAAAAATGAACAAGAATCGAATGGAACTAGAAAAGAAGGTGGAGGACAGAGTGGGTTGGAGAATGCTGTTCGGCGGCCTATGCTCCATTGGGAGTAACAGGCGTAAGTCAGTAAGTGAGTCCTAGTAACAATAAAGGAGCATGCACTAGTGCAGCATGTATCCAAACCCACACGTTTTAGTGCAAACCAAGATTCTTCTCCGTTGGACTCGGTAATCACTCATGACACTGAGGATATTGTCAGCCTAAATATTCTTCCACTAATAGTGAACAGCGATCACGCTGTTTTGCCGTTCATGTTTAGAACTAAGGACATGTTATACGATCAGGTTACACCTCGCCCAAATGTATGGAAAGCTAACATATCAGCCATTCGGAAAGATTGGTTTGTAGATACTAGCTTATCAGTTGAAGAAGCATGGTCTGTATTTAAAGGTAAGTTTATTTTAGTCACGTCCTCGTTCGTACCATACTTGGTACCGCGAAGACCGAATAACAGTCCACCGTGGATAACTAAAACAGTCTGGAAACATCTTAGAAAAGGAAGAAGCACCGGAATATGTTCATCTCTGCTGGCTTAGAATAATACAGATCCAGTTATTGTAGGATTATGAATGCCTGTCAAGCGTTAGTAAGTAAGACTAGACGATCATATGAAAAACGATTGGTTAGGGATTCTAGATATAGTCGGAAACGGTTATTCTCGTACTGAAAAAGGCGAACACAGAGAAGAAATGGAATTCCATCACTTCTGATACAAGAAAATCCGTCTATCTTGGCAGAAAATGATGCCGAAAAGGCTGAAGTTTTATCGGAATATTTCACTAAAGTGTTTTCTATCGGTAGTGAGAACGACCAACGATTCATTGTGACCGTGATGGCTTGCTGATGGACCCTGTATTCATAGAGAAAGGTACCTTTTGAGGCTACTTCATCATCTCAAACCTGATAAGTCCAGTGGTCCTGATGATATTCATCCTAGGATTATGAAAGCCCTATCAGATGTAGTTGGTGAACCATTA